CAACCAGCCCACACGCCCCTATATTAAAAATCTCTCTAAAAAAAAAAAAAGTGTCTTTTTTTTTGGAGAGATTTTCACTATAGGGCGCATGCGTTCGCCAGACAAAGAGAGAGAGACATAGAGACAGAAAGCGAGAAATCACCCCCCGGGGGGAAGGTCACACCGCAATCCCTTCTCCTCCATTCTCCTGTCGGGATCTTGGGCATGCATGCACACGTGCCCGGCGTGAGTTTTAAGCCACCGGGTCTGGGACGCAAACCACGGTTGACTACATGGGAGTCCAGCGACATAGCCATTACGCTAACTGCTGGTTCCCCCCCAAAAAAAAGTGTCTTTGAGGAGCAGAATTTGATGGTAGCCTCCAACAATATAATTCTGAGTAGGATCTATACCATTTAAAAAAAAAAAAAAAGGAAAGACTTCATTGCTATGTAAACACATGCTTTTAATTCAGCCAGGTCCAGAAATACCCAGTCTCTTGTCATTGTATCATATCTGTGGGACACGGAGCTGTGGTTTGGCATTGTGAGGACAAACCCTTCGGCTGGTGACCATTTCTCACTTCCAGGCCGCAGCTGGGGTTTCCTCTCCCCAGACACCCAGCAGGGATGCTCTGGGCTCTTTTCCTCTCCTACATCCTGAGGAATGTGCTGACAGCCCTGTATTATCATGTTTTTATCTCAGGATGTGTTGACATCTTTGGTCTTGCTGGCCAGGGAGTCCTCCCGGGCTGCCTAATTCCTAGAGATGATCAACAGCTCGCCTGTGAACACGCCTTCACATGCGAGCAGTCAACCCTGCGTCCGCGGCCCCCTCCACTTCTGTGACAGCTATCCTCCGAGGTGCCCAGCGGATGCCTGGAGCCGCGGATTGTACTCAGCCCCACATGTACTGTACTCCCATCCTCTAACCGAGAAGGCTAGGTAACTGTGGGTGGGTAGCAGGTCCAGAGGGACAGCTGGACGAAGGCATGAGTCACATCCCGGGCAGAACTGTGCCACTTGGAACTGGCTGTCATTTCAAACGGATACATTGTTTATTTCGGGAATTTTCCATTTACTACTTTCGCGGTTGACCACAAGTAAGCAAAACCTCAGACAGCGAAGCCATGAGTAAGGGGGAGACACTGTCTCTAACTCTCCCAGGCCAGCCACTGTTTCCCCTGCCCTCGATGAACCCAGACCAGGTACCAGACAGCGAGCGCCCTCCCCTCCAGCCCAGAGCCTTCTGCTGTTAAACTAGCACCTCACACTGCTTGTCCTGCCCGGCCTGCCAGAACCACCAGGGCCTCGCTGTCCTGCGCCTCTGCCTCCTGCCCAACGCCAGCTCGCCCCACGGTGGCCTGCGTTGGAGTGGTGTAGCATGCCCCTCCTCTTGGAAATTGTAATACAAATCTCTCCAGGCATTAGCCTCTCAGTCACCTGCACAAATTGCAACCCCGAGGTACGCTTGAACACAGTCCTCCCCAGAGCTGAGCTCAGCTCCTTACAGCTAAGAGGGCTCGGGAAAGAGAACTGTCCTCTCTTGGCACTGCCCTGTCCCTTGCCTGGTGCATGTGGGGACAGAGACATTCCCACCTACCAGCCCCAGAGGGGCTTTGTCTGGGAATGGGCCCTGAATGTTAGACACATAGAAATCTTCTTAGGAGGCTGGGTACCACTCAGGGCTGGGCCCTGGCCTGGGAGGCTGGCGTTGCAGGCACCCCAACCCCTCAGTTCAGTCTAAGAAAATGGAAGAACGTGCAGGTGGACCTTGGGCCTCAGGCTTGAGCCCAGTGGTGGGGGGAGGTGGGGTGCAGAGTGAGCGGAGCCTCCCCCACCCCAGAGTTGCAACCACAGGTTAGAATTGCTGGAGAGAGAAGTAAGGGGTGATCTGAGCACAAGCACACCCCCAAACACACCCAGGCTCCTCCCTGGTCGGCCTCAGGTGAAGCTCCATACCGCCAATAGCAGCCTTCAGACTGCCCCCTAAGTCCGGGGCATCCTCAGGTTCGATGTCAGCCAATGGGCACGTGTGCACAGCTTCCTGGGCCCAATCTTGAGTCACCTCTCAGAAAACACAGGCTGGGAAAGCCTACACGAGTGACACAAAGGATGGCAAGGACTTGGGAGGCCCCCGCACCCCACCACGGGGTGACAGGCTCTGAGAGGCAGCCTCTTTGTGAGGGCATTTTAAGGGTTAGAATCCCCAGCACAGCCCCGAAGGCAGGCCTTGGGCCCTGGTCACTGTGACACTGTGTGTAACCCCAAGGAGACAGGCGCAGAGGGCTCACTCCCCTTTCCTGTCCTCCTCTCTCTGGGTCCTGGGGCCCATCTGCTCTGCAGGTCACCCTCCAGGTCCAGCAGCCTCATGCCGCTCACTCTAGGTCCGTCCCTGAGCCTCTCCGTGCAAGGAGCCCAGGAACCTGAAAGACTCGGCAGAGCAGAGCATGGCCCGACCTCGGGCTCAGTGACCTGGGCCCTCTGGTCATGCCTGTGGGCAAGGTGGCGACCGGGCTCTGAGTGGACCAGAGGGGACCCAGGCAGGCTCAAGGGGGTTGGCCTGCTCCAGGGGAAGGAAGAGTCCACAGGGGTCAGGTGTAACTCACGCTGCTTCTCCTGAAGGATGCTGGACGTGCATGGCGCGGTCCCTTCTCCTGTAGAAAAAGGACAGAATTGTGAGCAGACAGACCCCCTCCACTGTGGACCAGACACCATGTATCCCAGGCTGCCTCTGTGCTGCCTGTGACCCCTGCTCCAGAGTGGGGTCGCCAGCGGTATCCCCTGATTTCTTGTCCCACCCCGCCTTCCATAGACTTAGCCGTGGCCCTTATGGAAGGCAGGCATACAGGCGCCATGCTGGGGAGACTTGGCCTGGCTCCCTGTTCCTCCCCTGGGCTTGTCACCTCTCCTTCTTCTCGGGGCCCTCTTCTCCTCCTGCCTTCACAAGCAGCTGCTTCCCAGGTGTTCCCCTTCTCTGTTCTCACCCTCTCCTCTGAGGGTCAGCGTTGAGTGCATGTCCATGGGACAACCGCCACATGGCCGTGTCTGGCCCAGGCCTCTCTCCTGCGCTCTTGATCTGAATATCAAGCGGCATCCTGGACACCTTGGGGTGACGGACACCTGGGTGTCTCACATTCTTCCGACTGAAACTTTCCTAGCAGGTCTGTACTCCCCCCCAGAAATGTGTCTGCAGCTTCTTCAAGGACCCCAGTGCTGAGGGAGGCCCCAAGGCACACAGAGAAGCCACCACCACACCCCACGGGAAGCCGCCTTGCCTGCCTGCCGAGCTCGGGACATTCCTGCAGAGCTCGGGCAGCTCCATCCTGGAAGCTCCTCCATCTCCCCAGGAGCCGCCCAGGGTCCAGACAGCCCTTTCCTGGTCACGTGTCTGCCTCCCACATGACATCTGCCCACATGCCATCCTTGATGACCCACAGCCCTCTGCCTGCCAGGGCACCTTCCCAGCTCCTGTCCCCGACTCCCAGTCTGTCTCCCTCCTCAGGATTGGGGCCCCAGGGCTCCTGCCCTCCAAGGCCGGCTGGAGTGAATGGCGGGCAGGTGCACAGCAGAGACGGGCCTGAGAGTCCATTCCAGGCTCCTACTGACTTGCTGTGTGACCTGAGGTCCGACACTCTCCCTCTCTGGGCCTGATTCCTGTAAGACGGTGTGGCTCCAGCGCTCTCTAAGGAACTTCCGACACCTCCCCTCGGGTGGCACTGCGTCACTGTGGGGCCCCTGGGTCCAGGCGCCTGCCCCTCCACTCACTGACCTGCTCCCTGGGCGAGGTCACAGCCGCCACACGCCTCGGTATTCCAGTCTGGAAACTGGGGAGGGCGCCGGTACCTACTTTAGAGGTCCCCACGAAGAATGCATGTAAAGCTGGCACTCGGTGGGGACCTCGTGGGTGGGTACAGCTCTCACCACCGTGTCATGTTAGGTACTGAATCCCCCTTATCCACGGGAGAGGCGTCCCCATGCCCCCAGCCGATGCCTGAAGCCAAGGACAGCACCCGCCCGCCCGTGCCATGTGTTCTCCTACCCGTTCATACCGTGACGAGACTTCACCTATCAGCTAGGGACAGTGAGAGATTATCCAGAATTACTACTAGTAAGATGGAACAGCTATGACAATTCACCGAAATCAAAGTTACGTGCCTGTGGTCTCTCTCTTTTTCTCCAAGTTCCTTATCCCGCACTCGCCTATTTTCAGGCCACAGGGGCCATGAGTAGCTGAAACTGCAGGAAGAGAAACTGACCAGGGGCGTCTGTTGTACTTCTGACTTTTGTTTTGTGTTTTTTTGTTTTGTTTTGTTTTTTAGGCTTTTGACACGAAGTGTGTGTATTCACTGAGAGAGACAGAGAGAGGGAAAGTGAGAAGTCACCCCCAGGGGGTATAGCCATCTCTTCTCCATTCTCTTCTTGGAATTTTAGCCACGCACAGACACACACACACACACAGCCCAGTGTAATTTTCAAGCCACTGCATCCAGGGCTTGACCCGCCATCAGCCATGTAGGAGTCCAGTGCCTTAACCACCACGCCCGCTGTTGGCCCTTGCACTTACTTCTAACAATAGCCTCAAGGCTTCGTCCCTTTCTCTCCATGCCAGGCGAGCCGGTGGAGAAAACCACTGGTTATGCTGTGTGCTGGTGCAGGGCCGTGAGGGAGCCCGTGCCCACCCACAGGGGCCTGCACAGACAACGGCGCTGGGCACCCTCGCTGCACGTCCCCCCTTAGTGTGATACGGGGGCCGCAGGCTGGTTCCCAGCAGCACAGACAGGGGCAGAAACGAGGGGAGACCCAGCGTCGGGCGCACAGAGCAGGAACTGACTCGGCGGCATCATGTCTGGGCACTGGCGAGCCCCAAAAAACTTAGGGGCCCCCAGAGAAAGTCGACTGCTGCCCACAGAATGGGAGCCCGACACGGAAATGCAGGTGTATGTTTGAGAAACACCTGCCGCTGGGGGCGTGGACACGAGTAGGTCCAGGTGGGTAAGGGGCAAGCACACCTCCCAGGAGCAGCTCACGCTAACTGCAGAGGCTCAGCGGGTGGGGAGAGGAGGAGGGAGAGAGTCGTTCTGCTCTGGGACCCTGGGGAAGTCCGTGGCTGTGGGCGATGGGAGCTGCCACACGAGAGGAAAGGGTAGGCTGTTCCAGTCAGCAAGGCCTTGTCCACAGAAGGCCAAGTCCAAGAGAGGCAGGGGGAGGGAATACGATGGTGGGCAGGAAACGCATTGACACACTGAAACAGGCTCGGCGGGCAGCAGGACTTACAGACCCTTCGAAACCCAAATCTGCTTTTTCTACTACATGCAAACCCAGCTATGTGATAAGCAGACCCTGTGCAAAAAGGACTCTGCAGCTGAGGACAGTGGCATAGTGTCCACCCATGGCTGCAGGTGACCAGGTTCAGGAAGGAGCAGGTCTGTCCTCCCACCAATAGCGACCGTGTATAGTTCCCTTCCTCAGAAGCAATAAAATGCTTTGGAAGGAGGGGAAAATTAAAAAGTAAATATAAGGACCCTTGTTCAGAAAGCAGGAAAAGGACCAGCCCCGTAGTGCTGTGGTTACGTGTTATATATAGAAAGCCAGATCTCACATGGCTGACTGAAGTTCGAATCCTGACCCCAGTGGTTTGAAAAACACACTGGATGTGGAGAGCAGTCAAAAACGTGTTCATGCGGGGACCAGCAGTTAGCGTAATGGCTATGTTGCTGGACTCCCACGTAGTCGACCGTGATTCGCATCCCGGACCCGGTGGCTTAAACTCACGCCAGGCGCGTGTGCGTGCGTGCCCAGGATCCCGAGAGGAGAATGGAGGAGAAGGGAGTGCGGCGTGACCATCCCCCTGGGGGGTGATTTCTCACTTTCTGTCTCTCTGTCTCTATCTGTCTGCCTGCCACGCGCCCTATAGCAAAAACCTCTAAAAAAAAAAAAAAAGTGTTCATGCCGAGCTGGACCCGGCAACTGGACATGGGTATGGAGATGGGTCTGGAGACAGAGGAAAAATTACTGTAGTGTAGCCATGTCCCACTGAGGGGCATTTTGTCCCCCTTTCTGTCTCTCTCTGTCTAGCGCGTATGCTCTCTGGCAATTAAAAAAAAAAAAAAAAAAAGAAAGGAAAAAAGTGCTATTAATGGCACTAAAACACCAAGTTTTTCCTTTCAACTCATCATGGCGTTTGCTATTTCCTGCTTGAGGCTGTGCTCCCCAGGCACAGGGACACCTGTAGTGTGGGTGCAGCCCCTCACAGGCCCTGGGGCCCTGGGATCCGCACCGCTTCCCCTGGCACACATGCGCCCAGGGCCCACCAGCTCTCAGGTCCCCTCCGGCCAGCCACCGGGCCCAGGCAGCGTGCCACCTCTAAGAGCTGGGAAGCTGACTGTGCATCTCTTCCCACAGGCCTGCCGCCTGAGCCAGGGAGACGAGGGCAGTGACACCTCCGTGCCGCAGTGCACTAGTCCCTGGATGGGATGGGTGGCAGGCTTGTTCGCTGAGTCACCCTCGGGACAGTCTGGTGCTGCCAGCCCAGGGCTGGGATGGCTGCCTCTCCCTGAGACACAGCAGTGTATGAGCATCCGACCCCAACCTTGCCTGCACCCAGGGCCCTGCTTGGAGGGAGACTGCAGCTGTCTATGAGCAGGGCAGGGAGGAGGAAGCTGGGCAGCCAGGGAGCCAAAGCGCAGGGGAGCAGGAAGCCAATACCCACCCTGGGAGGCCGTGAGATGGCAGGAGGCAGGACCACATGTGAGCCCAGCTCCAAGCCCCTGGCGTAGGTCCACTGCCCCACCAGATGTCACCTGTGAAACATAAGCTTGAAGATATTATCAGAGAGCAGGAGCAAAGGGTGCTGCAGTGGTAGTGGAGCACTCTGCAATGCTGGACCCATGTGGAAGGTCCCGGGTGCATAACCTGAGGCCTCCCTGAACATGCCAGGTGCACCTGCACATGCCAGGGATTGGGGCTGGCTGAGGCGAGGGGTTGAGAGGATGAATCATAGCGTGAAGACCCCAGGGGGGTGTCCTCTCTCTCTCATGGATAAAAGAAATGAACTAATTAGTAAATTAATTAATTAAAAAGTTTTCTTGCAGGAGGCCAGGAAGCATAGTGGTTAAGGCACTGGGCTCCTCTATGGCCAACTACAGTTAAAGTTCTGGACCCTGTAGTTTGAAACCCATGCTGGACACATGTATGCATGCGTGCCTAAAATTCCAGGAAGAGAATAGAGAAGGGATTCTGGCATGGCCACCACCACCCCTCACCCCGGGAATGATTTCTCTCTCTCTCTGTCCAGCAAGTTCACATGCCCTAGAGCAGAAAAGATCTCTCTCAAAATAATAATAATAATAATAATAATAATAATAATAATAATAATTTATCTTGAATGATTTGTCACAGTAAACCCCAACCCCTCTGGAGTACTGGTCACAAGCTCTAACACAAATGTCTCTGGCCTTTCTTGAATCTTCACTATATGCCAGGCCCTGGGACAGGGGAGGAGTCCGGCCCAGGGATGGGCCAGCTCAGATTCTCTACCTCCCTGTCGGCACACCAGGCCTGGAGTAACTGCCCACCTAGCCGGTCTGGGAGACGTCGATCCCATTCAATACTGTCATTACAGACGTAAATGTGACCTTTAGCCTGGGCAGGATTC